TTTGAACATTGATATCATTGATATTCCTCCAACATCCCCTCCCGCCCCTATCTATCTTTGTGTCATGTACTACCTTAATTAGTTGTACGAATAACGTTAATACATTTTCTCTGTTTCTTAAAGCCAGCGTTCATTAACTACAATGCCACCTGATGGTATAAGTTTAAGAATTCTGTCTAATTCAGGTACTTACTTTTTATCAACATTGTTACCATTCAAATGTTAAACATTGACATTGTACCTATTTTAAGAAGAAAACAAGACTGGATTTTCTCTTTTTGATATCAGAAACTAATTAAACCAAAAATAAAGTAATAACTTCCTATATTTACGCGAACACTACACATTAAAAAAAACTACTTTTACGGATTCTATTGCGTTTAATTAACTTATTTTTATTAACTCCCGACGTTTCGGGTGCTAGGAAAGTATTTACGGGTCGCACCTTTATTCATAAACTGCACTAACACAAAATATCAGTTTTGTGGGAAATCGCATTTAAAGTTTGACATGTTGAGATCGACGACTTCAAAAAATTATAAAAAACATAATAGATGACCTCGATCAGTTACAAAAATAGATATGTATAGCTTAATTAACAAAGTATTAGAATGAGGTGGAAAATTATTATATTTTGATCAAGAATACACTCTATAGAAGTAATTATTTTAAAAAAAGTTCATACTTATTTCACTTTTTACTAAAATATGTAATCGAATAATTTAGATGCAAGCGGAGTAACTGAAAATATTACAGTTTTATATTAAAATTATCTTATTAGTATGTGAAATATTTAGATTATTTGCAGTATTGAGATATTATAGGCATGAATTGTTGACGAAATATTCCTAATTACTACTTTCTTAATTTTAATTCATATAAATTTCACAGGTAGGTATTATTTTTAATAAAATAAATATATATTTTTATGTTAACATGTTTTAATTATTTAAAAAGATAACATTGTTTTAGTAACACTACTTAACGATGTCTTAGTAAACAGTTCAAACACTTCGGTGTAGGTACCTACTTAAATACTTCTGTGTATACCTACTTCCAAGTATAGTTAGTAATTCAATTATTAAGTAAAAGCTTCTTATTAAACTTCAGAGATATTCATGTTATTAAAAACAAAACAAAAACTAAAATTTTCCCAAATCTTTATAAATTAACAAAATAATATTTATAATTAAACATTAATTGTTTTGGTTTTCATATCACACTAAAAAATCAAAAATAATGAGATCTGGTTTTAAAACTTAATGTATAAATAATATTATACTTAAAGTATATTGTTATAAAACCCTGCATAAAAGAAGGGATTAATGCTTTTGAAATTAGCTCCCTTAAATATTTCTTCTTGTTTTCACTTATTTATTGTTTATTAAAATAGGCACCTTGAAGTGTTATTTCAGTCGTTAGTTTTATTTTCTTCCTTTTATGTCTTAGAATAACCTCCTTGTAGTATTTATCCTAGTATAATGTTTTGTAGAAAAATAAGGTAGGGTTTTCTTTAGTTATTTCCTAAGACTTTTATTTCATTCCAATTAACATTCTGTACATCTTTATTTATTGTATAATTGTATCCCCACTCTTGTAACATTTTCAAATCATAAAATTATTGATAATTCATGCACAATTAATGGAGGTTGAGAGTTTTTGGCATTCTTAATCACAGCAATGTACTGGTCGGGTGTATATATTGGGCCCGATTTTTTCTTAATTTATTTCCTAATGAGGCTATGCACACTATCAGCATCATTTTGCGTGTGATCAAAATTTATGCGTAATGCTCTTAATATTTGATTTTTGCACAGAATATGAGTAAAGAGATATTATATAGATGTTATATATTTATTTTTATTCTGTCCGCAGCAATTGTCGAAGTAGAAAATCACTTCTTTTTTATCACCATCTTTGTCGCTTATAGCTTTCAGATATGCCCATACACAAGATCCGATCTCAACCGCACCACGTTTAGCATCACTCTCTGTTCAAAAATATCAATGCACATTTTTGTAGACTACTTTAGAATCCTTCGGCGTTAATACAGTTAGGGTTAAATTATAGCAATTAATTTAAGACTAATAGTAAAAGGAGGAACTGCAACACTGCCTCTAAAACATACACCGCTACTCTCATATTCGTATCTACTTTTTTTGCGATCATTAACCTTCTCGACCCTACTATAATCCTTCTCTTTTATATGTTTTAAGTATTTCTATTCTATCTTTTTTTTAATTAGAATAAGAATTACATAGATCACATTGAACCTTTTTTTGGTAGAAAAAATGAGAGATTAAATTAATTTGTAAATATTTTATAGTAAGTTATATTTTACTTTAAAATCACTGTAAAAAATTATAAATCTTTAATAGTGTTGTTACCTTCTATAAATTCTTTCATTGTAGAAGCTCATAAGTAATGAGATTCAACCTTCAGGGTAGAATTAATGTGTTTCATGATCGCAGCTCATATTTCGGAATCAATTTTCTTATGGTGTTGATAGGTTCCTCTCAAATCATTAAATGAATAATCATTTTCATTAATTTTATTTTATACAGTAAATATCATGTGATCTGAGATATCCAAAGTTGCTATATAAAAAGTTTTACAAACTCTAATCATTTTACTGTCGATTTTAAAATGAAATGCTTTGTTTTTGTACCTGGGTCTTTCAGCATTCGTATATTTGTCCCGAGGCTGAACATCAACCATACTCGCATTTATATACGCTATTTGTTTTACTAAATCACTTTAATCCCAAAAAGTCTGAAATAGTTTGTATATTTCTTCTATATTGATCTTTGTAGAACATTTAAGCTTACATTTATCCGTGCTAGGTTCTTTGAGACATCGAACAGAAACACGCTTCTGAGTTTTTAACTACGTTACATATTATGCTTTTCCCTTATTATGCATATATTTAATTTTATTTTGTATCCATTGAGAAGGATTTTAATAACAAAAATTACTCACCTCGTGATTGAAATTCTTATTGCTATTGTTGTAGTTTATATCTATCTATTAAGTTATAATCTACTATAGTATTTTTATTATCTTGCATGGTAATTTCTACAATCAATCCTAAAATTCGAAACTCGAACTCGAAGACATTCTATAACCAAAACAATATTTTAGTAGCCGATATTACATTCGTCATTTACTAAAATAGTGAAATAACTACAAAGAGAACGAAAGTCGTATTTAATAAATTTCATAGTAAACTGTAATAAATTTAAAAATAACTACGTTTCTGGTAATTTATAATACAAAAGTGAAATAAAACTTAATTACTCAAGTTTTGTTTCCACATTTTACTATTAAACTGCATTAATTCGAAATGATGTCGTAATTGATACGATATGATTTATACAAAACTGAATTAAGTCATATTGTTGCCGATAAAAATTACATTCACTTTTTTAATAAAATGAAATAAGTCTGAATAGATGCAGTTTTTGAATAAAATAAAGCATATAAAATAATAATCTGATACTAAAATAGCGAATTATTCTGGTTTATTTAACTTTCTTTAAACTATTTTAAGGTTTTAATTGGAAAAACGCCGGCGCATTACTGAACTCGCTCACTTTACTGGTATCGACTTGTTCGCGAGGGTTAATCAAAAAGAGAACAACGATCATCTCACTCTGTAATTTTCTGCGTTATCTAGTCGGCTATTGGACTGTACCTATTCTCCTGATGAAGTTAATTCGTTTTATGTTGAAAACTCGAAAAACGTAAATTTTGAGTTAATTCAGTTTATGAATAAAGGTGCGGAGTGAAAATAAAGTATTTACTACGTCCTTAATCGGTAAAGGTGGCTCTGAAGCATGGACAATTCGAACAGCAGACAACAAAAGGATTGATGCGTTCGAAATGTGGTGTTGGAGAAGGATGCTTCGGATACCATGGACCGATAAGAGGACCAACGAGTCGATCCTGGGACAGCTTCGTGTTGACAACAGACTCTCTACCATATGTTATCAGAGTAATCTGAGTGACTTTGGTCACATTGCCCGACGCCCGCCTAATAACTTGGATAGACTTATAGTCGTGGGCAAGGTGGGGGGCAAAAGACCACGCGGCCGATCATCTAGTCGCTGGTCAGACCAGGTCAAATCACTCACTGGCCTCTCACTCACGATTGCAATGCGAAAAGCCAAGGACCAGACAGAATAGAGGGCTATAGTGAACAGCGCTACTAAGGCACTAAACTACAGACACGACCTTCAGTTTTGAAGAACACGACCAAGAAGAAAATCGGTGAAAATAATTAATTATTTTAATACAGTAGGTACCTAGACCATAAAATATTTAAATGATTCATAATTAGTACAGATAAATACATATATAACTCTTTATTCTACACCAAAACAATACATGATCGAAAGAAGAAGAAAAAACAGCCCCACAATAGACGGTCTTATCGCTAAAAGCGATTTCTTCCAGAAAACCTGTTTACCTACTTATATGTAATACATATCAATTAATAGAAAGTTTTTTTTTATTTTCGATTGTTATGTGACAGGCCTGTTGGTCTAGTGGTTAGTGACCCTGACTGCTACGCCGGAGGTCGTGGGTTCGATTCCCACCCAGGACAAATGTTTGTGTGATGAGCACGATCATTTGTTCTGTGTCTGGGTGTAATTTATCTATAATATTTATGTATTTAGAAATATATAAGTATGTTTATCAGTTGTCTAGTACCCATAACACAAGCTCTGCTTAGCTTGGGACTAGATGGCGTTGTGTGATAGTTGTGGAATATTATTATATTATTATGTCTCCAATAAGAGATAAATTATTAATTTCATAATTAACTTATTAGTTTCATAAACACTTTCTACTTCGGACTGGCAGTCCTAACACTGACAGCGACTAAACAGGCAAATAGAAAATAAATAATTTTGGAAGAGTTATTATGATATATTTTTTTTATTTATTTTTTAGAGTTTCGTACCCAAAGGGTAACTAGCGGAACCCTATGGCTTAACTCACACTGGCGCAGAGTCGAAGCGACGCGACGCGTCATGTTTTGTACGGCGACGCGCGCCTTCGCGCAGCGGACGCGCGTCTGCGCGCGACGCTGCTCGTAAGCCGCTTACTTTTTGCCAGGCATTTTTCCTACAATTTTTATCACTGTAGGTTTTCGCCTTGACGTTAAACAGACATTCATATTTGTGTACTAAATAAATAATTTTTTCATCTTCGTCCATTGTCGTCGTAGTTCAACACTGTCGTCCGTCCCTTGTAGTCGGCGTCTGACGCGTCACTGCGCTCGAGTACGCGCGGCGACTCGCGAATTCACTCGACTCCAGTTGAGCGTCGAAGCGCGAATTCCCACGTCAACGCGCATCGACGCGCGCTTCCTTATTTACATAGTAGAAGTTTGTACTTAAATAATAGAATAATAGAGATGAATATGCAGTAGGCGGAAAAATATGACGCGTCGCGTCGCTTCGACTCTGCGCCAGTGTGAATTGAGCCTATTACTAAGCCTCTTCTGTCCATCCATCTGTCTGTCAGCGGGCCGTATCTCATGATCCGTAATAGGTAGACAGTTGAAATTTTCCAGAATGTCTATTTTTGTTGCTGCTGTAAAAATTAATTGGGGCCCCCTACTATATACATGTATTACGGTGGTACGGAACCGAGTCCTACTCGCACTTGGCTTATTTAACTATGGCTGCTAAAAGTCTCGGATAGGAAGAATAATCTTGAAATGCATTACTTATTATGTAACAATGATCGTTAAAAACTTAGTTTCTACCGACTTCTAAAAGGAAACTCAATTCCACTGTATGTTTTTTTTATGTGTGTTACCTCATAACTTTTTATTGGGTGAACCGATTGCGATTATTTTTCTTTTATTTGAAAGAAGGTGCTTGAATTGGAATTTGATCAAGGTCTCGCCAATAGTTTTTGAGTTATTCTTAATAATTTAAATTGAAGTTGGTTGTACAAAATTTTTAATTTTAAATGAATTCAGTTAGTATCTAATAATATCGATATAAAATGAACATTTTAGTCAAAGAGAATATAACCACTATGTTTAACTTTAGTTTCAATCATAAGTACTATTTCAAATGGAGTAGTTAATACGATGCAATTTAATAATAACGTGTCGAAGCGTCTGTAAATTTAAAAGTACCGCATTTATGAGGCAAAGTGATTCACCCGTTTATTAGAATCAGCAATGACCGTACAAAGCGCTCGGGTTATTACACATTGATATGTATAATTTATTTATTTATCAAACGTTAATATCCTTACTTAGAAACGCCTTATTCAGTACTATTCTGTCTGTCTGTCTTTCTCTTTCTATTGTAATGAATATCGTCTTTCTTTTTTATATTCACATATGATTAAGCGTTTTTATAGAATAAATGAATTATTGTGACAACAGTTAAAAAGTTAAAAGTTAAAGTTACAGCCTATATACGTACCAGTGCTGGGCACAGGCCTCTTCACGTTGTGCGTGTTGGCCGACTTCACGTCTTCGAATTTTTCTCTTATTTCTCAGACATGCCGGTTTCCTCACGAAATTTTCTTTAACCGCCGAGCACGTGGTAAATCGGCACTTAAAATTGCAATTAACAATTTCATTGGTGCCGGCGGGGATCGAACCCGAGTTGCTCGCGTACTGTGAAATTTACAGCGAGCGTTTATCGCTTGAGCTTCCACGTCACCATTTATATAGAAATTATAGTCCCAATTTGTCAAATGTGCTTTTAATAAAATATCTAATCTAAATCTAAATAATAATCTAGGATATGATCACAAACTGCAGACTTCACTACACACAACGACTACAGACCAATGTGCCGGGAATTCTGCAGTTTTTGATCATATCCTGGACGGCCCTCGCCATTACATTAGATTTGATAAACCACAAATTCTTGCGAAAGAACATCGATTCCTGCCAAGGATGATACGTGAGGCTATTGAAATTAAAAAACATCCTAATTTCAATAGAGAGGGAGGCTGGGTACTACCACCTGCTTGGGATCCTGTAATTAATAAAATTAAAACTAAACCCAAGCATACCACTGCAAGACTTCAAGACACAGTTAGTTCATTCTGCGTAGATCAGACCAAAATTATTAATTAAAAAAGCTGAAGGTACTCCGGTTTAACTCTGACATCGGGACGTCAATCACCTCAGTCCCATGTGACCACGGTTGCTGGAAAGCAACCGAAACGTCGGGAATATAAAATAAGTTAATTAAACGCGATAAAATCCTTAAAAATAGTTTTATTAAAATAATTTTCTAATTTTAATTTCTTGCATATTCATTATTTTAACTCAAAGAAATTTTTTTCTAACGTTTTATGTCTAATGTGTATTTCAGTTTTTACTCTATTTTTAATTAATGATTATATTGTAATCGTTCTAATTTTATATTTGATTATTTACTATTTATGACATTGTGTAAATGCATAAGGCATAAATAAGTATGAAAATAAATATGTACTATAACTTCATTCATAATTTCATATATTACAAAAAAATATTCATGAATACTATATTACGTTATTTGTGGTATCGGTATATAATAATAATAATAAAATATTTATTCATAATATACGACACCATTAAATCGGGGATTCACTAAGTGTTCCGTACAACGGATCTTCCCTCGCAAAGTTCACGCTACGTCAGTGCTGCATCTTATCGTAAACATTTTAACACGTTTGAATTACTTCAACACAAAGTGTTCAGTATTTAGTTACGACATAAGGTTCAATTTGGTTTGAGATGTTGTTTATTAACTCCATAAATAACTTGGTCAATTTTATTGTATAAATTCAGCTCGGTGCCCGCATATTCATCATTCCATATTAGACCTTCTTATTTCTTGTACATCAAAAACATTTTACAAGCCAACCTCTACAATGAACTTCGCAAAAATCTTCTTCTTCGTAATGGCATGCGTGGCAGCCCTCAGCCTCACCTCGGCCAGTCCAAAATGGAAGATTTTCAAAAAAATTGTAAGTTTTGGTTAATATTTTTGTTTCACGTTTAAATAAATAGGTTTTTATTATCTCATTATTTTATTGTGTAGAATCAAAGTAACAAACGGGCACATAATCATGGTGGTGAGTGCTGTGATCCATAGATACTATAAATCAAAATGACTCGTTATCAGTAATAATTTAAAATTAAAAATTTTGTACAGCCGACTTCAATATAAGTTATTTAAGAATAACTTAAAAACTATTGGTCTGACCTTGATCAAATTCATATGGGACCACACGAGAAGTACCAGCTTTCAAATAAAAAAAGAATCATCGAAATCGGTTCAGCCAGAAAAAAGTTCTGAGGTAACACACATAAAAAAAAAAAAAAAACGAAAAAAAAAAAACATACAGTCGAATTGAGTACCGGCTCCTTTTTGGAAGTCGGCAGAAAAGGGTCTCCGGTTCTCTGACAGCACCATACGAAGTACAGCAACGTCAAGCTACCAGCAATAATAACATAAGACCATACATACCATACCACCTTAACCACTTATCACAGGTGTACTGTAGGTTCGCTTTTCATTTGTTATTAATTAAATAATTTTCATTCGTTGTTAAAAAATAATTTAAAAATATCCAATTCGTTGATGATCATTATATATATATATATATATATATATATATATATATATATATATATATATATATATTCGTCTTGTCCGGGTTAATAATAACACTCTCATATCTTAACTATTTCTATTGTCAAGCATCAAGGCACCCATTGCTATGCAGTTGAAATTCAATGAATTCTTATTACAAAAATTTCTCCGTACAATAATTGGACTTTTTGTATGGTTTACAGGAGAAAGTTGGAAGAAATGTTCGTGATGGAATAATTAAGGCCGGACCAGCTGTGGCGGTGGTTGGACAAGCTACCTCTGTTGTCAAAGGATAGTTATTATCGTCAGTATTATAATTATATAGTTTTTAATGAATAGTGATAATCTTATTTATTATAAGTTAAGCTATCGGTGCTGTAAAGACTACTAGTAAATAAAAATTTTTTTTAATTTTAAATTCGTTTTACTTTACATTTTCGAAATTTTAATCACGTATTTAGAAATTAGTATGTAAGGAATTAGACCGTTAATTCTAAACTTTTAACTATAGTCCTAATTAAAGCAATAACGAAGGTTGCTTATGAACACGATGAAGAAGATGCTTAATATACATCATCTTCATCACAGCCCTTCACAAGTATATTCTCTTCCGAGGAGTGCTACAATGCAAGATCCCGATTCACCTGCATCTATCGACTTTTTGCAGATCTTCATTCCATCTAGTGGGGGCCAGCTCATACTTCGCTTACCGGTACGAGGCTGCCACTCGAGAACTTTCTTCCATATCGGTATATATAAGAGACCAGCCTATTGTCACTTCAGCCTCTGCGGCCCATAGACATCTACATCTATCCTCTATTACAGCCACATACATACGGAATGCATCCCGAATCGGGATTCAGTGAATACATCACACACATACGTTTTTTTCCGTTCGGAATAACAAGGGTCAGTTGAGAGACAATAGCCATTGAGTCTAGATAATCTGCCAGCAAATAATGACGACGATTTTGTAATTGCGATTCCATTGTTGCTGTATCATTCTTACTAGGTGCATCCCCTTATCACCCTAAGCTTGCAATTTATTCAATATTATGTAAAAAGATCTATAAATCCAGAGATATTTTTTAAATATTTATGTCTGTAAATTCTTTCGACGAATTATTAAATAAAATAAGAACGAATAAAACAGTTACGAAAAGCTATACAAGCTTAAATTTAAAAACATACATAAACACACCTACTAGCTTCGGTCGTGCGACAAACACTGAGCGCGTTCCGTACGTAATTTACGTATGTGTGTTGCGACTCGTACAAAATCTATGGAACACTTGTAACAGAAACAGAAACAGAAACAGAAACTTTTTTATTCAATATAGATTATAAATAATACTTATTGAAAGTCACTCTTTTGTTTGATTACCACTGGTTCGGAAAAAACCTCTGTCCTGGGAAGAACCAGCAAGAAACCCAGCGGGACTATTTTTTTTTAAATAACAGCTTACAATCATGATGTTACACAAATTAACAACACAACAAATTAGAAATAGCTTGGTAGCGATCACCTCATTTCCAGGGGTTATTATCATCCATAAATTTCTTAATATTATAATAACCCTTTTTATACAAACTTA